GGTGCCCTGCCTCGTGCCGAGACTCGCCCCCCTCCCCCCGCCCCCCCCCGCCCCCGCCCCCGCCCCCCGCCCCCCCCCCCCCCCCCCCGGCAGTTCTCGTAATGTAGATAAACTACATACACTGGCTAAACAGCAGGTGATTGACTCGCTCAGTTTCTAATCGTGTTTGACGATTAGTGATTGTGTTACCGCTATACGAAAATAAATGTTCAATGGCCGTATTTGTAGCAGGAATGCATAGTATTTGTTTAGCTAACTGAGCTAATATAGGATATTGAGTTTCATTCAATTTCCAATAATTTAAAATATTTTTCAATTCTTATCTCATCACATAAATATAAGTCTAATTTTGTTTTGGATGATACTGGTTTCGCAAAATTATCTTTTACAATTGTTATCAAATATTTCATCTAATGGATCAATATGCATCTTTGGTGTTGGACTGACTAGTTTTTTACCATCTTTCGTTTTTGTTTTATCTTGAACATTCGTATCTAATGGTGTCAGTTTATTAAATGCGATTTTCAATAAACTTCCAGCATATAACTTTTTGTCGGGTGTATGGTTAAAACTTGTTAAATTTGGATGCAACATGGTCGCAAGATAATGAACACCTTGAAGTACCCAATAATCTATTACATGTTTTGCAATAAACTTCTCCAGCGGAGTTGTGTGAGTAGTATCATCATCATTAATAGCCGAACGATTAATCAATAACTGTTTATAAGGTATCACAAGGTGAAGTGTTAGTTTTTTTCAGCACTCATACGCTCATTCACATCATCAAAATGTTTCAAATATAAACAAACAAGTTGTAATTCATCACGACTAATAGTTAGATAATTGAGCTTCTGATCATCACTAATGACATTAGGCAATTCATTGAAGACATTTAATACAGAATTTATCATTAAATACGAACCATTTTTCGCAATAACTTTGAACATTAACCGATAGTAAGCTTTGTTTATGACATTTTCTGACATGTGTGTAACAAGCTCACGAACACACTTAAACAATGATTGTAGTTGGTCACAATTTATGTACTTTTTTTTGAAACCGTGTTCCAATATTTTGCTGAGATAATGAGCTGAACTCATACGTTGAACATTGTTCTTAAGTTCTTAAATGCATATGTCATTTTATTCTCATTGTCAGTAACGATATAAACACCATCGCTCAAATTTAGACCAAATTCATTCAATATTCTCTCAATAAACGCAGGTATACTAATGTGAACACGCGTAAATCGGAATTTGAATCAACATAATGAAGACTCACACCTCCGTAATGAATTTCTGAAATATACAATTTCTTATTCTATATCAGACAGATATAACTAAGAATTTAACCTGTGAAACTTTCCGTCCAAACGTCGCACGTGATACAATAATTTTTAACAGATTCATACAATAATATCAATTGGTTCTTTAATTTACTATATACACGTTCAACATTGCGACTGATCTACAGAGAAAAAACAAGAATTTTTTCAAAACTTGTTTAAATTTCTTAACGTTAAAAGTTCGGACAAGAGCTCTCGTGAGGGGCTTCGGAATTCGATTCTGAACAACTTTTGTACTGCGGGTTTTGCTACAAAAAGCTTGCTTCTATCAAAACTAGTCGTAAGGTGCTGTCAATACCTTCTCTCATTTTCAAGTCTTGAATTTTTCTAAATTTCTCTCAGCTCTCCATTCACTATAAAAACTTGCTTCTGGTGTAGATCGATAGATTTTTCCAGAGATTTTCCATAGATTTTTAATGGAATACAAACACACTCCAAGACCGCCTATCTTGTAGCTCGTGAACCTTTCACTCTGTCTATTCGTAAAAACGTTTTCTAGGGGGAACGCTCTAGAATCGAGAAAATAATGTTTCTTTCTCTGCTAAGTGTTGTCCGACGAGCGGTCCTCCGTACAGTGAGTGTGCCGAGTTTAGCCAAGCTCCAAATTCAATGAAATGTTCACAGAAGATGCACCTACTAATGATACATCGATGCCCTTAGCACAAACTAGCGCAAATGTTTTTGCACCGAGTTACAGGTTTTTGAGAAATAGTGAAATTAAAAACCAGTAATATATTTGGAATCAGCGCAAAAAACTGCGTCGAATGGTGTGTTGCATGTGGGTATAGAGATTATTGACTGAAATTTTCAAATTTGAAATTATCAACAGATGAAATCGTCTAAACACTATTTCTATAGATTATCGAAATGCAGTGGTATTTGACTTTCTTAATGGTTTTCTGTGTGGCTTTTTAGAGATCGGATCTCGGAAAAACCACTTAGAAAACCTTTTTAGAACCCGAAAAGCATTCCATTAGATAGAGCAGACAATATAACATATAAAAAACGCGCTTTTAAGTTTTCCTCTAGCTTGCAGGTCAAATGACCACGTGCCTAGTGAAAATTGCCCACTGTGAGGGGAGGCCGAACAAAGAGAAGAGATATAGAGATACGTATTATGTTCTATTTATCAACCAGCAAACAAATCAGTAAGCCTTGACTATGGTGTTCGAAATTTCTCTCTACGCTCATCCATCAATATTTCTTTTCTCTTTTATAATCTCACCATACTGTATCGCATTATATATCTTCATTGAAGCATAACCTTCAGGTACATGTTGAAATAAATCAACTATAGTATTGGTTTATATGTAGGTAGACAGATAGATATTCATATATACCTGAAGATTATGCTATAATGAAGGTATATAATGCGATACAGTATGGTGAGATTATAAAAGAGAAAGGAAATATTGATCAATATTATCAATATTTCTTTTCTCTTTTATAAAAACGTTTTTTGATTTGATCTTCAAATAATAGCTTGATATCCTGATCTTCAAATAATAGCTTTTTCCCGGATACTTATGAAATGAAAATTTTTCTAAAAGCACAGGTTTGTGGAGCAAACGTTCTGATCAAAATAAGATCTCCCGCAACTCTGTACGACCTTGTATCAAAAAGCTACAAGCATTGTGCTACAAGCCCTAAAATTGAGTGTTTAATACAGCGTTTTCTCTATATAAGAGTTACACCCGAAGTATTTTCCAAGATTTTTAATAGCGATTTATCGTAGGGAGTTTATTCTTTTTTTGTTTATGGTTTTCGTTGAGAAGGAAAGAATCCACCGACACCTCTTTACAATATAAGAGATCGACTTACGGCGATCCTTGGCTTAATTTCGCAGATCAGTGAATCGGTTTCAAAATGAGATGCAGGAGTTAAAGAAAGAGTAAGACAAGGCAACCAGATTGCAGCGTGCGTCATCTTCGTCGTCAGTCACACTAATTCGCCCACGTCATCATCAGCACTAAAAAACATCATGCTGGACGTCCTACAATTCAGCTAACAGAATTTGAACAAGCTGCAATTAGGTTAACATTCCATCTGCTACTCAAAGATAAGTTATACCAACTGATATAACTCCAGTGGATACTACCGCGTTTCAAGCTGAACGTGCTACTTAT